ACATTAAATAACGACACAAGTCTTGATGATCTTTGTTTTTATTTTTATTTCCTCGCCCTTGATATGTTAACAGTAAAATTTCAGTATAAAATTATTATTGTACTGCCTTTATAACTTGTTGTGTCGATTTTTGGCGTAGTTGTGTTGTTGTTTTTTTAATTACATTTAAAATTTCCAGCTGAAACGGATGTAAGTAGTTATCACAGTAGTTAAAAAATCAATGACTAGATTTTTTAAAAATAACTTAAACATGAAACAATTCCCACGAATTTAAATAACACGTTGAAGAAATCAAACAAATATTTTAACAGGACAAAGATACCCGTATAATTGTAAATAATTTCTTAAGGTATATTTTCTAAATTGCAACCATTGTCTGTCATTTCTCGAAATATTAGAAATGTTTCAATCTGGGTAACAAGGGATTTCTCGTCATTCTGATTTCTCAACTTGTTTTATAGAATTTCAAATCACATCGTATATTTTAAAGAAAGGCATCATATATTTATAGTAAGAGTAAAAATGCAACTTTGTTAATAATTGTTATATAAATATTAATTCATTTCAGCTAATCAGGTCTTTCCTTATTAAATGTTTTCTTCTGGTGTATTTTCTATGGCGATGAACGTTTTCGTCGAAAGGCGAAATGCAAATTGTAATGAATGCCAATCTACTCGAAAACCAAGATAATTTTTATAACATCGCTTTCTTTTTAACCTTTGACCCGTTAATATTGGTTTCGTTGCATTCACCATTAGTTGTTTATAGTTCACAGATGTACGTTGTATGTATATATATCTTTAATATATCTTTCTTTTAATGTTTGCCATGCGTTTTACTTCAAGTAATAATGATAAGTAATTTGTACTAAATTAGATTTGTAATTAACATTTGTAATGCTCAAATTCTGTAATAGGAACTCATTCATGTTTTCTATTCATATTTTATATACAGGTACTTTGTTATATTTTATCAAAGTGCTATCACCATTAATTGTGTATAATACACAGATGTACTTTGTATACAAATAAATAAACGATGTATTTATATCTTTAATATATCTTTATTTTACTGTGCTTCAATTCTTTCTAAAGGACCCATTACCATCATAAACATGTTAATAACAAAAGTAGTGATCAGTGTTAAAACAGATAAACAAACAATCCAAATAAATTTATTTCAATTAAACCATTGTGCAACCTCGTGATATCAATTCAAGTATGCTGTCAACAATCAGGTCAAATTTACATCAAATGTCATCACAGTTTTATCTGGATTTACCAAATGTCAGTTAGGCTACAATTTTTTATCCGCATCTATACAGTATATATACAATTTATTTCACCTTACATATGAAGACCGTAAATTATTAGCAATATTCAGTTTAAAGTTTATTAATGGATTTAACAATTTCCTTAATCTTAAAGGCATTTACTCAAAGTATCATTTAAAAAAATATTATTTTAAAAGATATACGTAAGATCGCAGACAAACTGGTTACATACTGACAAATGTTATTGGATCTTTGTATCTTATCAACCTTATAACCGTATAAATGTCGATATGCATAATCAATGACATGGTTAAATGACGCTGATCATGATAGGAAATTTTCAGGAAGCTTAAAACTGCCACAAAGTATAACATAATGAATGTGTTGAGGGATTTGGACAGTCAAGAGAGAAAACCTTTTCAATAAAAATTTGGTTACAAAAAGTACTTTTTGACATTGATATACCGGGTATAAATGCAAGAGATCTTGATTAATGAGCCCTGTTCTGTAATGAATGTACAAGTACAGAAAAATACATTTGAAGACACCTTTCCTTACTATTGACTTTATATTCTTATCTACCAGTAGATTACATAGTTACCTTCGTTCAATGCATCATAATTTAATAATCTTCAAGAACCATATAGTGTTTTAATAAAATAACGATTTAAACAGAGTTTATCTACGCAAAATATCCTCTTTGGAATAAAACACTAAATCGTCATCGTTTCTCGAAATGTATTTATGTTTATGATCAAATTATATTTTGACAATATGATGAGAATATATATTACAGGAAACAGAAATTCATATATTCAGTTCACAAACACGTATTTCTAATCCTACAATACTAAATCAATCATTCAAATAAACATATTTATAATATACTTAATAATATTTTAGGCTTTTATTGCAGCCGTCAACCATTTTAGTTTAAACTATATTTATACAGAAATCTTGTAGCTTTATAACCACTTACGAGTCACTTTCTTTAAATTTATCAGTCATGCTGTCGTTTGAGAAATCTATGTATTATTTTGTGATCCAAGAAAGATTCGAAGCAACGAGTCTTACACTTTATGCAATAAGGATGTATTTTGCTAGATACACATGTGATGGTAGTATCGCTTGAGAGATTTATCTCTTCTTAAAATATTTCTTCTAAATATTTCTTTTTTAATTATCTGTCTGTCATGATTACAAAAATAAAATATTTCTGCTTAAAGCGCATTTTGAGCCGATATCGAAGGTAAAGGTGTCAATGTTAAGAACAAAAAGTACGTGTGGTCTAGATATGATATGAATATATCTGCAATGCCTCTGAACTAACTACATTGATACTTTATCGATACAGCATTCCTTATGAAATGTAAAAACTAATTTTATATGAAATTGAAATCTTTCATTTATCGCTGTCTTATGCAAAATGTTAAATGCAAGTGAGTTCTACTTTGATCAAATAAAACTTAATATTTCCTGATAGATCCTATATATTTTAACCTATATAATGTTTGATAACCGTAACATAAAATATAAACATAAAATAGTAATAATAGTAGTATATGTAAAAATTAGTAAATTACGCATAATTTTCAAATTATACATGTTTTCAATAAGGATGCAATTTCTATAGAAATTTCTCAACTTTATTAGACCTTTCTACGTTATTGTTAGGTCTCTATTAATTTCGCATACAAAAAATATATTGAGAAACTGGATTTAACTGGTATTTAAAAACCAATGTAACCAATGAAAGAAGCAAACACGAAACACAATTAACCAGATCTAGTTTTCCGGCTTCTTAATGGTGTCTTGAATTACAAATTAGCAATAAATTGTAGATATTTATAGAAGACTGTATTTAGTTTGACCTTTTTATTAGAAGAGGAAGGATTTGAAAATGACAAACTGATTCATCGCTTCCTGTCGTGAATTTCCTTTTAATTTTATTTTATAATCCAAGACATTTGAAGAAAGAACACATTTCCTTTTTGAATATTAATTTATTTTATTTAATTTACCTTAGCACAACAAGTTTTAACCCATTTAAACAATTTCATTTAATAATTACAAATATAATCCAATTATTTGACTTAACAACCTTTTATTAACAAATCAGTCTTACTAATTTTATTTCACCCACAAGTAACTTATAAAATACCCCTATTTATAAAGCAAAACTTTCCCACCTTGACAATTAAGCATGTCAAGGAAAGTATGTAAAACATGAAAACATAAATCTCTCGTTGCCAATAATTCACCGTCGGGGAACTAAAACAATAGATTTACTAAATGCACGTGACAAACATTGAAGTGACTGATAAACACGTGCAAAATTCTACTACATCTTCACCGTTGGATAACTTAACAATAGAACTTTAAAGGCACGGTGATATTTGATGTAACTTGCTAAGAAAATGATTTTTGATAAAAAAAAAAGAGATCTTTTAAGATACATGTATATCGCAATATCTGCGACACTTCCTGTGACCTATCTATATGGATGTATTCGTGTATCACGATTAAAAATGGTTCGCAATAAATTGTTCATTAGAAATCGCTTGTGTTTTTCAATGTCATTGTTATATTCATTATAATTTGAATAACCCGTAAACATTGCGGCTATTTTGATAATTTGTTTAGACTTTATTTCTACATTTTATTACCATCATTCATTAACGTTTTGACGATTCGCACATAAGTATCATAGCTGAAAGATCTTCCTTAATTGAATAAACTATCTCATTATTTAAAGGGTATAATTCAACAGCACGGATAAATTACACGTCTACCCTTTTCAGTATAAAATTGCACTTTTAAATATTCCTTTACTATATGGCCAAACTATAATACGAATGGAAAAAAGAAAAATAAACAGAGCAAAAGAAAACGAGCAAAAGAAAGAAAGAGTACGAGTTCCTTAAAGTGAAAATAACTCTAGCAAGAGAAGAACACGAGAGCAAAATATGAAAAACGTAAACCTAACAATATTATTTACAGAACAGACGCATTGATTGTTTACTTTATGTTGGTACGTGGTCACATGCGCGTGAATTGATCTCGGTATATAAATGCTATACCAGCTTCACTGTTTGATTGGTCATCGGTCATTTTAGGGATACAGCATGTCAAAGTGCACGAAAACGCAGATTGATTCTACATTATATACTGATGCTTATGACAAATAATCTTCACTCCCGGTTCCTAAGTAATTAATCGGTTCTTTTAGTTTCCACCACATAACATGCAAAGCAGTCATTGTTTAAATTCAAACGTTTTTTGTTCATTTGACATAGCAAAATGGTCTGACTTTATAGAATAAGGATTTTAACAGTAATCTAGTAACATGTATAGATATTTAATAAGTGATAACGTAACATGTATAGAGAGTTAAAGTTATTCAGCGTTTCAGACAGCGCACTAAAACGACAGAGGAAGACTTCTTGAAAGTTCATGTCAAGTTAATTACTTTGAATTATACACATCATTATTGTGATTATAGACGGCTGGTATTACGTTCTGGTCCTCTATATCGCTCAAATGACAACAACATTAATACCTTTTTAATATAGTTCGTTGACATTCAAAGAATATCTTTCAAAAAATAATAGTTCTTTTAACTTTTAATCGAATGATCTATTTGTGATAAGGGGTGGAAAAAATAAATAGATTAACGACTAAGTTTTTGTAACTAAGTTAATTCAAATTTGAAGGAAACACACGAATATTACATGATAATATTTATTATAGACGAACTTTCATTTTGTTTCACATTTATATCACCTTAAAGTGTCATTATTCTCTTTTTTTTTTCTTTCGCTGTCGAGTTGAACTAGTTCTCTATTTCAAAACATTGTTTATTATAATGGTTATTGACCGATAATTGATAATAAAATGTTATAAATGTTTATGATACAGTACAAAAAGCTCATTTACACTGCCACGGTGCAAAGTCATTTAGTTCTGCAATTGGAACAGGTTTTTGTATCCATTCTAAAGCCTTCTGTATCGGGACAATCCAAACTTCATTCTGAAAAAGAATATAAATAGATGACTGATCCAACAGTAATTCATTTAATACTGGCAAGATTCCTTTGTTTTAAACGGGCGAGGTCAAACTTTTGTACGGCATTGTCATCCATTAAGTTAAATAGACTAATGACGGAAACTAGAATATCAACAATGGAATTGATCGAAATCTTTCACGTCTGTTGCAACAATCATTCTTCGTAAGAATACTTAATTTTAATTTTTTAATATCTATTTTGCATTTAATTCAAATTGCATACGATGATATACCGTAAATGCTGATCGAATATACTGTAAGAATTCAGCTGTTCCGTCCCGTTTGTCCTGGTTACTTGCCCAAGAAGGATCAACAATCATAAGAAATGGAGCTCGATTACCATTATAGTGACCTGCAAATCTAAAGTAAAAAAATGACATGCCTTCCTTTCATGATTCAAAACAGCAAATAACTATTTGTTGATATCATAATTGCACGAAAAAATAAACTTTTCATAGATATAAACTCTACTTTTATCATTAATTAGATGTAATGATATTCAAACACGTCTCAAATAAATTTCATAAGCGATCTAGAATTTGATCCGATGTTCTGTAACTACCAAATGGAATCTCTGCATGTCACTTTATGTTATTTTGTTTTGATTCCTGAATAATAATTCGCATAGCGGTCTATAATTTATTGCTTTTTATTTTCATACAGCCTAATGGTAAAAGAATGATTATATGAAATCCTGAACAAAACATAGTCTTACGCATTAAAAAATATGTCGAAAGCGTCCCTTTTCGTTGTTATGTTCCGGCAACCAGAAGGTACAACACAAGGTAGTTTGTCACCATTGATATCATGTAGATCTGCTATGGGCACTTCCCACCTCCCTTAGAGTATTACAAAAATATATATTTTAAAATGTTTAAAACAGATAAAAAAAATTAAGCATCATTAAAAATATGTATTCATTAATGATTATTTGTGTAAAATTTTTAAAGATGAAAAACAAAGAAAGTTGTTTGCTTTACGATTTCATATAAAAATAAGAACGATTTGAACACTGTTTGTCTTGATAGTTATTTCAATAGTAAAATCAAACAAAATATTAACACGTTGTCTTAAAACATTATGGGATGTTATTCTAATCATTATCTTTTGTACTAAAACATCCAATGCATTTTGTTATAACAAATTAAGTTTGCCGAGTTCAATGTGTAATCAATGTTTCAATACATTTGAGAATGCGTGCAAATGAATGAAAGGAACAAATAGTATAGAAAACCGGAAGAGAAGAAAAGGAAGAAAAGCAATAATTCAAGAGTACAATGTAGCAAGAAGCACTGCAGTATGTAACAACATTTCATTTTACGTCAATACCTGGGAAAGGCAAAGTAGGTGCGTTTCCGTTATCACAAGCAGCTGTCGGCATGTAGTCAAACGTGTACGGCCAGATTAATGTGTTTGCGGAAGAGAATGACACGCTTGAACATGATGAATCATATAATAGGTTGCTGCTCCCGATACCTTTATCAAACAAAAATGAGAAATTTATTAACCTTCTACGTATAGATCTACATTGAATCCGAATGAACTTAGGTATAATTATATACTATCATCAACTATAAAGCATAAAAGTAGTACAAATCAAAGGCACATTATGCTTCAGAAACAAATAAATTGTTCCTTCTTTATAAATGACAAATATGAATTTGATGGTTTTTGAGCATGTAAGATGCTTGTTACCTAAAGAAAGAAGCGTTGAAAGTTAAATGATTTGTCATAAAAGTAGCAAAATGTAACCAAATAGTATTTAAACTTCCATATAAAATACTAAATCACTACAACTGTTATACATGTTCTTATTGTCATAGTGTATCAGCTTTTATACGTAATTAGCCAATGAGTAAGTTTTTTTTAAATAACAACAGTATATCAAAAATAGAAAGCGTCTGAGAAGTAAGCTCAGCAGCATTTCAATGGCATAACGGAACTCAGATGGTGTTTTTTATTTTCAGTATACATTTTGTTAGGTCAATCGAACACAAAACCATTGATTTGATTGGTTAACTGTGTTTTAGAATATTTTTGTTACTACCTTTTGAATAAAAGCATTACATGCACAGATATGCAGTGGATTCTTATTTTCAAATTGCATTAGCTGTTGGTGAATATTGTATTGAATTTACATTTTACTGGTATTCAGTGACCATGATAAAATATTATAAGAATGGACATACCAGTCATCTCAGCATTTCCACCCATTGCAAGTTGTGGTGCTCGCACGCCTTTCACTTCCTTTAAATCAATATTGTGTCCTTCAAGTTCCGAGGATACTTCTGGTAACATATATTAAATAACAAAGATCAAGACTATTCCAAGATTCAACTTACTTTGGTTTCATACTATTTTGTTTGTATGGTTATATTCTGTCTCTTGATATTAAAACAAATGAAATATTTGTTATACCATCAATATTTTGTAAGACATTTCTAAGCATTACTAAAAAAATCATATTTTAGTGATAATCTCTTCATTTTATTAGCGAAAGGGTGATCAACTATTTGAACTATAGATTTGTATTAAATCAGCACACCTCCAGACAAATATGCATTTTTAAGTAAACAGTTGAAAATTGTGAAAAGCCAAAAACTGTCTAGATGAAGCGATATGTCATTGTCTTACTTCTTACGTCTTACTTCCAATGGTATTGCTAGTCTAACATGGAAATACGCAACCAGCTCGTAATCACTTAGTAACGAAGTAAAATATTACCTTAGAATAGTAAATCATGCAAAGTGTATCTTGAATATTAAAAGATTATAATTTACAATTAGAATTTTTTTATTTACGTATTCATCTGGAGTCGTGCAAGACAATTCAAGACAATATAAAGATCTAAACGTAACAAACTTTTTGATCATATCTATCCAGCCAGTAGAAGAACTCGGGGCATTCCCGTCAACCGACGATATCCCAATTTCATGGCCATCACTACTGATGTCTTTTACTAGATCGTACGCTGTCCCAGAATCTTCAATGAAAAATGTTCCTCTAGCAGGACAATTATTTGGATTAGTAACACTTTGAAAAATTGGAAGATAATCCTTTATGTTATCCGAGTTTATTGTTCCCTCAAACGACACCATTACGATCTGTGGTGTTTCTGATTTCTGTAATGCATTTAAAAGAAAGGAAAGAAATACAAAAATAATAACAATTTATTATTTTTTTATCTGTAAGACCAAGAAAGATCTTAGTTTGTAGGAAATTAAAATATGTTTTACCGTATTGACGTCTAGTTCTTTACCTAAGCTTATTAAATGGAGAGAAATAAATAGTCCCTAAAGAACTCTCTAATTTAAGCTAGATTATTGAAAATATTCTATGTTCGTTTGAATGACTTTTGTGTGTACCTCAGAGACATTTTCATATTAAGAAACGTGATCATAACTTTGGTAGTTGATGTTTTCGACTTATCATGATGTTACTTTACATTGTAACATATTTAAAGTAATAAGTCAATAAATGTTCACTGACCGATAAACTACCGGGTATGGTACGATCGTCGTAACAGCGGCAGTTGGGAATGGTACATCTTTTCGGGTCACATTGTTGTAAACTTAGTCCAACCAATGCTGATAATAGCAGCAATGAAAGCCTCATGGTTGTATTGCTGAAATTCAAAAAATAATATCAAGTTTCATAGAACTTTTATACATGACAATAATGATATACAACCACATATGATAATTTATAATTATGATGTTTCGCCCCCCCCCCCCCACAAAAAAAAAATCCAACGTCATTTTATATTTAATAAATGTAATACATTAGGCGTTATAATTGAATCATGATTTAAGTACGTATATTTAACCATTTAACTATTTAAATGAAATACAAATGTAAGCAACGATAAGGGTTTGTTTTGAGGTAGCCAAGACAGTTTCGACAAGCGGTATTCTTTAACCATTAACTAAACTTTGCTCAGTATTATTATTTTGATATAAATACTTCCAAAGTCACACGTCCGAGGGATTAGCGTCGGTTTTTCAATACAGGGGTATGTGGCTCGTTTTGCGAGTGAGGCGAATGTTCTCCGTGACAACAGATCTCGGATTTTGATCTTCATTTGTCTCTTTACTGATTTACCTGATCACTTGAAGAGAATAAGGTATATACTGTGTTTGTTATTCAGAAAAGTGACAACTGATATATGACAATTACATGTTAAAATCGGCGTCAGAAGTCAGGAAATAGAAATATAAACGAGCAATGTAACTTAAAGTCACCAGAGTATTACAAATCCAGCCAGGTTATTTAATAAAAAAAGTCTTACCTTATTTTTGTCCTGCAAATTATATGTTAAAAAATCGAAAGATGAATGATAGAAGCGGAAGCGTGACATATTTTATACCAAAAGATAAAAATGCAACGGCCAATACAATTTTCGACAAGAGGAAGATTAAACAAATTTGTTCAGTCATAGTGATATTATTGTTTAATTAAACACTGTGTCGCGTAAATCATTAATATCTAATTGATAAAGAAACCATCATGATAAACAAAATTGTAGTAATATATTCAGTAAATGACTAAGGGTTTTACAATTGATATTTTATCGTGCAACGTGTAAATAAACTTTTTTATCATCTAAACGTTAAGATAACGAATTTAAAATTAATTCTTGATTTTAAAGTACGTTAAATATTATTAAGCCGTTGTTTTCGGGAGAAAGAAACTTTATCCTCATAGCTAAGTATTGATTGGTTCCGGGAACGTATTCGAGGGTGTTTCAATAAGCTTATTGTAGTTTCCAACATTATCGAAGTAAAATCTATTCGTATAAACTAAAGTAAAATCCTTTCTATTTGTTTATCAAACTTTGCTTTACTGCATAATGTATATTGAGATACTTTTTGGAATTCTGACAATGGACCAATTCTTTACTCTTCGTTAAAAAAGATATCCGTTTTCTTTAAAAAATAAATGTTCGATAAATCATGAACTACAATATTTCTATTTCAAATTGAATATTATCACCGCAGATAAAAGACCGATTTAAGTGAAAGTCTAGACTTTCTGAGCATTAAACACACTGTCATATCAAACAATAAAAGATTGTATTAACCTTATCGTGTATGCGAATTTATCAAGATTTTATACCACTATGACTTCTACTGAAGCCTAAAGGATATGATTACATATTTATAACGGAGCTTCAGGAAAATGACACAGTGGTGTTCTTAAATCACATAAACATTGTTTTACATTGTTATAAAATCTGCATTTCTGGTCACCTACCAGTGTTTCAATCAATAGGTCTGCCCTTCGCCTGTCAATACGAAAACAAGCTAGGTTGATGAACTTAATATGTAAATAGTAGACAATATAAAAAAATGACTAGCAATCTGATTTTTTTCTAATCTGGTCAAATTTCCGATAAGTTTTGTAACAGAAGAAACATGTATTTCTTAACTTTAGATTTAAGATTTTTTCTTTGACTTTACCACAGAATATATTAACATAAATTTTTGACACACGTTTGTGCATCTCTTTTTTTGTAAGAGATATCATTCATTACTTTCACTGGTTCTGTACTGACTGGATCCTTTATTTTTAACAGACTAAATATATAAATGTATTTGATAATATAGTTTGTTCAATGTTTATAGTGACCGTGAGCTTAAATTATCTTAACATTTCATATTGTATGTTTAAATAAATCAAATGCAATATCACCAATTTAAATAATGCAATCTACTCAGAGGCAATGAAATGGAAATAGCAGTGAGAAACATTATATAGTGCTGCAAATTCATAGGGTAAAATGACACCGAAGTGGTCTATGTCAGCCAACAGCAAGTTTTATATACCAAATTGTTCGTCTTGGTCTGTAGTTTCCGGAATGAATATTTATTTGGTTCAAGTCCGATGCGTAGCTTAAAAATCCAAGATGGCGTCAAAGATGGCCGCCAAATCCCTAAATATTCTAGAATATTAATATTTGCTCATATTTGTTTCCGCTTTTGTATTTCAAGTGAAATTTTTGCACGCAAGATATCATTTAAAGCGTTTTATACGAAGAGATTTAATTTTATTGGAGAAAACAGATTGCTTTTTGCTTTTTTATACGTAATTAAGCAAAATAATGCTAAACATATGGGTTTTTGCTATGATACTCTTGTCTTAGCTTAAACAGAGAAATATTTATTACTTATTTTGTTATTCCACTATTGTAATGTATTCATGAGAGTAATGCTTTAATGCATTCATATCATATCTTAAGAAATCTTTCTTTGTAATTATGCAGTAAGACATATAAAATGAGAGGCGGTACATTAAAATAGTTTTTCAATGTAAGGTTGTAACTGGTACTTATTTGTTCTATCAATTATTTCCCCAAATTTTGTGTTTCTGTCAAATTATAGCTTCTTTAGTGCAGTCCATGTAACTGATTAACATAATAAACCAGGAATATGATAATTTGCTTCTAGTTATTTAATGAATTATTGTTCAAATCGTACCCCACCAACTATGAATAAAAATCTAAAGAAACTCTGATCGACCCCTCGATTATACTGATTATATAGAATGACAATATTTACGTAAATTAATAAACATAAGGTGATATTCAAAGTGTGATACTATTACAGGTATCCTGTCAGATCTAAAAATCTGTTCAAAAATGTGTTACCAATTTAATAACATGATTTTGTTGTAAGTTCACCTAAGGATTTGAAAAGTACAATGTATGCAAAACAACCTCTGCTCATTTATTTATATGTTACACACCTTTTTATGTCAAATGAAATGTAATTTATTTTTTAAAGTTTCTTAAATTGACAAAATAGTCATTTAAAAAGTTTGATACTTTATCTACATAGATCATTACTCTGTTAACATTCGGTTTCATGAAACATGCATAGTAGTCGGATAAAACATAATGATTATATGAAAATCGTTCAGCTTGGCATTATAATTGTGTTTGTGTTATTTTAATTTCTTCTATTTGACCTTTTTCGAGTTGTGTGGTTCTAGTATTTCTTTTTAAATAGTGTATAATAACCTTTTGGATAAATAGTGTATAATAGCCCTTTGGATATGTTATCTGCTTTTAAAGATTATATTGTGACCTTTGATCTCGTTTTATAAATCCATTCTATTTAATTTCCCCCATTGTTCTCTATTTCTTGTGGACAATATGATTGCACGAACATTTTACATTGAAGATACCATGATCACTTTCGTATGAATACATCTATAGACGTGTCTTCACTTCTTTTAAAAGTGTACCATATGTAAAATTGAGAATTCTGCTTAAGCCGGTGCTAGAGGGTGTGGATGGTAGGTAACTTGCAATTACCGCTACCGGTATGTTCCTATATGACGACACAGTGTAAATAAAATAAATCCCCGCCAAGTAAAATTCTAACAATTGTTATGGTTACATTAGACGAAATAAATAAAATACATACATACATGATCGTGTAAATATGTACAATTAAGGTACAGCTTAATTACCATAACCAAAGTACTCGATGCCTTAAAGGAAGACAGAGCAACAAGAACATCACTTACCAAGACAGAAGACAAAATTTAAACAATTAAGAACGCACAAAATGTCAAAAACGAAAATGTTGCAGGCTCGGTTTGATTGAGCCTGTTCATGAACGGCACTGTCAAGTGCAAACTACAGTACACGCCCCCTAGCACCGAATTAAGCAGAATTCAACATCATGGTTATGGTGAACTTTTGGATTTAGAAACAACCGCAGACGCGCTTATAATGTGGTTATCATGGAACCTTCAATGTGACACGTTAGTGTCATTCCATAACAAGCGGCGTATGGTCCCCAAGTACAAGAATGTGTGTGCCCTAAACAAGAAAACAATGAGCGGAACTAAATAAATGAATTTTGAAAGGGGATCAGAGGTTATGAAGCCTGCATGCCACAGATAAGCTGTCATCTCCACATAAATCAGGCCTGCGTATACCTAGACGTAAAAGAATAAAATAGAGAAAAACAGAATCCCTAAACAAAGTCCAACACAACAAAATTGAAACTGTTGCAGACTCGGTTTGATTGAGCCTGTTCATGGATGGTACTGGAAAGTGCAAGTTACCGTCCACGCCCCTTAGCACCGGCTTAAGCAGAATTCAACATTTAAAATGTGTAAAAGGTGAAATTTTGAATTGAGAAACATCCGCAGACGTGTTCATACGGCGGTTATCATGGAACCTTCAATGTGACACTTCCGTGCCATTCCATAAAAAGCGGCGTATGGTCCCCAAGTAAAAGAATGCTAATGCCCTAAACGAGAAAACAATGGGCGTAACTAAATAAAATGGAATTTTGACAGGGGATCAGAGGTTATGAAGCCCGCATATCACAGATAAGACGTCAAAGGGCAGGCAACATATTCTAAGGGTGATTATACAGTACTGGAACCACCCAAGTTGAAAAAGGCCAAATAGAAAAAAACTGAAAGTACCACATAACATGTATACACAGCAATAATGTCGCGCTGAACGATGTTCAAGGATTTAAAGTACAATTAAATTTTAAACATTATCTGAATTACGACGACAGGACTTTGTAAAATATTTACGTAATCTATGATAGCCTTGTTAAAGAAGTTTGCCAGTAATAAATAAATTGCGTTCATTAGAATCATCCACACGACAGCAGGCCCAGGCAAATCTAATTAACTTAGAAATATATATACCCAATATGATGTTGCATGAAGTACTTGTGAACAGTTAACAACGTTATTTTAAAAAAATACAATTATCATGGATTTAAGTTACTATGTTATTGTTTATGATAGAAATGTTTAAATTTGAAAATATTAAGAGTTTGTTTTATTCATTTTACGTTCACTTAGATATATTTTAGATTTCACTTGATTATTCATGTTAAGGATATCATCTAGGTAGCGTAGCGGTAAGTGCTATTTCTGTATTTATCTATTCTATTTAATGCAACGTATAGCTTCCAGTTGTGAAATGGTAGAGAGACTTAACATAAAATACCTCTAGTTACAATATAAAAGTAAATAATGTAAACTAACATGTCATTGGCATTATGATTGTAAAAATCAGGAAAAGAGAAGATCCTTTGAGAGCAATTAAACACGGCAAAGTTGATCATTCAAACTCAGTTTGATGGGGTCTGATCATGAGAGACAATATCTCACGTCTCTTAGTACCGACTAAGTAGTATCCAATCCTCAACTATAAAAGTTTTGCGATCCATGATCCCGAAGGACCAAGTCGTCCGGTTAGCTCAATAGGTAGAGCGTTGGACTGTGAATCGGGCAACCCGTGTTTGATTCCCGGACGGGGCAGGTCACTTTCGTTGTGATTGATCATGAAATACATGTAGTTTCTACGGTTATTCGCACTGTACCACTGCTCTGCTATGTAC